ATGCATGTGCTTGTCTCTGGTGCAAGGGAGAGCTGTGTGGATTTACAGACATAAGACAGAAGGCACCGTTAGCAAGTTTGCAGATGAGGCTAGATAGACTTAACAGACGGGGCTACTATTCAGAGGGACCTCAACAGGCTGGAGAAATGAGCTGGCAGAAACCTTATGAAGCAAGGGCAAATGCGAGTCCTGCATCTGGAGCAGCATAGCCCTGTGCGACACTGTGAGCTAGAAAGCAGCTGTGCAGGAGACACCCTGGGAAGAGGTTGAAAGAACATATTCAGTCCGAAGAAAAGAATGGGATGGCAGGCATCTTACTGCTGTCTCAGCTACCTTCCAGGAGGCAGAAAGGGTGAACCCAGACTCTTTGTACTCTCTGTACAGGGACAAGGTAACAGGCAATGAACAGAAGTTGCAGCAAGGGAAATTCTGACTGGATATTTTCACCAAAAAAAAAGGTACTATGAGATTTCTCGAACATTGGAACAGGTTGCATCCCGTCACTAGAGAGCTTCAAAACTGATCAAGGCCATGACAAAGTTCGCCCTGCTTTGAAGTGGGGGGCTTGGGGTGGACCAGAGCTCCCTTCCAACCTAAATTATTCCGTGATTCAAAGAGTCTTTATGACTCTTAAGTTTCAGATCATTTTATCTGAGAAAGTGTAATGGAAGCTCATAGGTTGTGAATTTCCTATGTCCAGTCAGCAACCTCTGTATTTGAGGCTGCCATCTTTTAAGAGAGCTTGATCTTGTTCATGAAAATCTGACAAGTTCCAGCTTGCACTGCTGTAACTAAATAAAACTGCCTTCTTACAGGGTTCACACCACTTTTAGCACTTTGGATTAATTATATGGCTATTATCCTAATGGAAGCAGCCAGAGTAGGTAATTGAAGACATCTTGAAATAAATTAGATAAATGATTGCAGAAGCAGGTTTGTGCTTTAAAGCTCAGAGAAAAACCATTTTTAAAATCTGACTGTAAAACTCCCCCAAATACAATGAAATTTACTGTACATTTTTATTGACCAAACTATATTTTAGGAAAGGTTAGAAGAAAAAATTGTGAATCCTGTTGCTGCAAAAAAACCTATTCTTTATTTCTTTGAATGAGTCTGCTGTATTCTTACTTGATTTTTGTTGAGTTTACAGAATCCATGCTAAATTATTTTTAATTGAGCACTTAATGCCTGAAGAAATTTTAGGAGAAATCATTAACTCATGCCACTAAAAATCCACGCTGCAGAACTTCAGTTTTGCATCAGAGTTGGTGCCTTCGCACATTTTTCTAGTACCAAAGTTCTTTTCAAAATTGAAATATTTTTTAATTTAATCAATTCTTATAATAAAGTTTCTGGTTCCCATGGTTGGTAAAAAAAACAATAAATTATTTTTTGTTATTTCAAGAAGCACAGGTCTGCAGATCCTCATTTATTAAAAGCTGGAAATATGCAGAAAGTTATATATCAGGTGTGCTTTAAAATCATTAAAACATGACTGGATTGCAGGAGATGTAGGAGTTGCTGCCAATTTCAGTAGAATGCTTTTCTTAACCACCATTACTGTAGTTTAATTTTCAATTCCTCCAGATACTGTATTCTTTTAGACCTTCCTAAATCCAAGATAGAATCAAATATTAATTATATTCCTAGCTCTGTCCCTGTTTGTTTTAACCACAACCAAAGAGAATATTTCACAGCTGGTAATTCAGCTAGATTGGTGTAACTCTGAATATCAAGGTCAGTTCATGCCCTGCTTCTCTGTGATGTTATCTCCTCTCTCTTTCTTTTTTGTGGACATCCGAAATAATCAGTAATGGCCTGAGATTTAGTACAGTGATGGCTTGTAGTACAGGATCACAGTTTTGCTGGGTTTCATTTTGCAGTTGCTGGCTTTAATAATTAAGGGGAATATTACCGTGATGAGGTTTAAAGGCTTTAAAACCCTCATTTGTCTCATATCCAGAAACATAACTAGCTTCTTAAATATATTATTGCTGATCAAATTTATAGTTCTTTGTTATAATACTTGTGGCCCTTGAGACTAATTAATCAAGTCTGAAATGCATGTGCTTAATTTTGGTGAGCCAGAGTGATGTGAAATACATAATTAGCCACTTCGTTGAAGTGTGCATATTATGGTTCAGTGACTAATTTTCTGGTCAGTGAATCTGAACCTTATGTCTCTTTTTTGTATTTAAACACTTCAGATAACGATAGTTCTTGTATTTAAAGCCATTCTAGGCATAAAGATCTAATTCATGCTTAGCATTTTAATAACTGCCTCTGCTTTACAGTTTTCTAAGAGAGAAATATTTATTCATCTCTTTAAATTATAAATTTATAATTTATGGCTTAGTTACAAGTTAAACATAATTATATGCAGCATGGTATTCTTAAGGTCATGGAATGTAACGTGACAAAAGGTTTGGTTTAGTTTGTCAAAACTGTCAAAACGTTGTTGGCAACGTAGTATTCCATTTTACAAATTTACAATTCTTTATCTAGAACTGACATCAATCGTAGATTGAATGCTTCTAAATATTTATTTTGAGACACTTTGGAAATATCTCACTTTAAGGCAGTAAATTGTAGGAAAATAAAACATTCCTTGCATATTTCTATTTTGGAAAACATTTGCTTTAAACTTTGTCATTGCTTTGAGGCTTTTATTCATGTATCATTTAACAGCTTCAGGTATCATTGAGGAACTTCATTTTGACATATGATTCAAGCCTTGAAAATCACATCACTATAAACTGTGAGTGGCTTTGGCATGAGAAGAAAAATTCAATTAATAAGCTTTTACATTTTTATGTCCTACCTAAACTTGTTTGTCTGTATGAAAATATTATTGCATTACAGTCTAATGTGTCAAAACCACTCCTAAATAATCAGGAGTTACCAGACTTCAGATGCATTACATGTTGTCTGTTCTAGGTTTTCAGTATACAAAAATGATTGTATGAAGTATTTCAAGTCTCTTATTTTCCAAGGGAGGTGAATTATCAGGCAGAGGGCAGGAGGGAGTGTAGCATTTGCATCACTTTGTGTGGTTCCATAATTTACCACATTGGTGATCTCCCTCGTGTTTACAAATGTGATGCTCTCTCTACTGTGTATAAATACTACACTCATGCATGATGTTGCGTAAAATGTTTGTTTAAAATAGAAGGGTTTTTTTCTGTATTTTCTTTTAATTTGTTTTTACATTAGAGGAGACAAATATGTAGCAAATATGGGTTGAATCCTTTTTTACTTCATGTAGTAATATCAAAAGTTCATTGTTCCTCCCAGTTGAGACTGAAAACATGGCTGGTTTAGTCTTTGTAATACTTGGCTCTAAAATTAAAATTCAGAGGAAACAGGATCCTACTATGAGTCAGTATGCAGAACAGATGAAGTATAGGGGCCATGAAGAAACATTCTTTTTCTTTCAGCCCAAGGTCTTTATCACTGCTGCGAACCAATGTCATATTTCGCAATAGTAGGTTATGAGTGCCAGACTGATCTGTTTTGATCAGGATTAAAATACTGATGTTATTTCCCTGATTTTGTTCTAGATTCTGCTGTGTTTTCTATAAATGTTTTTAAACTAAGACACTTTCTTGCAAATTATTTTCAGAGCACCTTGTGTCATTATTTCAAATGGAGTCACTCATTCTCACCTTTCTTATCCTTTTGGAAGTAATTACTGACTTGGATAGTTTGATGATATTGAAATAATCTCCAAATTGTATTCCTTTCTGTAGTGCCTGACTTCATAGAGTCTGACAAATTGTTTGGCATAGGAAATGGGCTCAGGGTCATCCACTCATGGGAAGTTGGATTACACATGGATGCCAAATCCCAAATGACTTTAACAGTGATAGGCAGTACTAATGAAAATCATTTTCTTACATGGGATATAATGCACGTTTCTACCTCTCATTCCAATAATAAATTAAATTCATCGTTTGAGCTAAATGTCGTGGAAACAAATAATTTACCATATGCAGTATCTCAGTGTCACCGGATCATGCTTTTCAGCTCTGCAGAATACTTTTTTCACCTGTAATTACCTAATTGTCTTTCTAGCCTGCTAAGAAAATATTCCTTCAGCTTGACATCTTTAAATTGTGCTTTTGTTCAGTAGTTTACAGTGTGTTGGTACTGTATAATGAGTGCTTATCATTAATACTATAGATAGCAAAATATCTAATTACGGTTATGCCACTGTGCTGAAAAACAGTGTTACAATCCAAGCCAATTCTGAATTTCAGTTGCTGAAAGCAAGATTGGGAAGCAGTCTTGTAAGTCTCAACCAAGAAAGAAGCACTTCCCTTGTCTTTTGTTAAGCCAAAGAAATGTGCTCCCAGTGTTCAGCAATAGCTAACAGCGGAGAAAAACGCTCCTTAGCAACAGAAGTTCATGAAATAAAAGAAAGATTTAAATGTGGCTTAAAATTAGGGCAATAGTGTCTGTCAGATTTAAAAATGTGGAAATAGATTCTCTGTTACAGACAGGAGGAAGGCAAATATAAAAGCTCAGAAATATCTTCTAAGTCAAGATGGAGAAAGAAGTTACTCTGGTGCATGTTCCTTTCACTACGAGCTGCCAGAAGTGTGTCTATGCTGTTACTGTGCATCTGGTCTTCTGTAGGCTTCTGGGAAATACATTGCTCTAAAAGGAATGGATGTGGTGATACATTTTTTAAAAATTGCCCCGCTCTAGGTCTGTGTCCGTAAAGTTCAAACTCAGAGAATCTTTTTTACTGAAATTTGGAGGGAAGGCTTTAGTGGTCACTTCTTTTTCCTCCCTCCTGTAAATTCTGTCATGGTCTGATCACTCCTAGTCTTGCACACAGTGCCCTTCTGACAAATGTCATCCACAGAACACATTTAAAACAATCACAGCCACGTATCTTTGGAGAAAAAGGCTATCCTCTTTACAAGACACAGCGGAAAATCTAGAACTTTGGTAAAACAATAGGAGTAATCTTTTTTCACTAATGTTTTGTATAGGTTTGTAATTGGACGAGAAAAACCGGGCCAAGTGAGTGAGGTTGCGCAGCTGATTAGCCAAACTCTAGAACAAGAACGCCGCCAGAGAGAGCTGCTGGAGCAGCATTATGCACAGTATGATGCAGATGATGATGAGGTAACAGACTGTCTAGCGTTTCACTGTTCGGTGGTTTTTTTTAATGTTCTGTTTTCTATTCCTAATTCCTTCTTTTTAATTGTCACTCAGAGGTCAGCTTCTGTCCCTCTCCATTACCTCTGCTGCTGATTTTTACAGATTTTGATCATGAATCTTATTTGAAGAACAAAGTTACTGAAAAGCTTTTCGGCATGGATTTAAAATACTTGTTTTGTTCCAGAAGAGCAAATATCAAATTGGTCGATGCTTCTGTAATCATTGCTCTTCCTCTGAAGGCATATGTTTTTCTGAAATAAGGGAATAAAGTTGGTTTGCCTGTGCACTGAAACATTAGTTTTTTGTGAAAACTGGTAAAAGTTGCCTTCTAACTTTTAGGGGGTTGAGGAATTTTTAGACCTTTTTTTTTTTCTGGAAGGGCTGATGTTCTTCTTAATTCAGAACATTAAGAAATATTCTGGAAATTCCAGGTAAGACCCCTCCTTCTAAATACTGCTTTTTGTTTCTGTCTGAACAGATATTCCACAGGATAGAGAATTAATCTACCTTGTCTGAAGTGTGTATTGATGTTCGCAATTAGTGCCTGATGTCCCAATACAAAGGTTTTGAAACTATCAACTTTATACAGTAAATTTTACATAATTTCTTTCCGTTCTCTTAAAATTCCTCATATGCCTAAATACCAAGATGCTTGGAAAGATTAATGAGAGAGCATCCTGGTTTCAGAGACTACTGTCTGTGTTACTCCCTAAATTAGCTGCTGGGTTAAGGTAAAAGGCAGTTGTTGTAACAAGCTGCTTCCACATAGCCCAAGCATACCTCCTTCATTTCACATTATCTTGAATAATACTATTTGAAATGTCAGACTCCATGTATTAGTGTGTTTTCATCCTGGGCCAGATTTTTTATTTTATTTGTGGAAGGAGGCGATAGAGAAGGGAAGATAGACAATTCATGCTATACATTTATTTCAGTTTAGTTTTCCTTTCGGTACCGAGACAAGGCTTCTATACAGTGAAATAGAGAAAAAAAATACTCTGAGATAAAATCAGGATACACTTGGATTTTGAAACACACTGTTAAACTAGCAATAGGTCAGAACAATCAGAAATGTCTCAGAAGACTAAGTAAAAATCCTATCTAGCCCCAGTGATGCTTTCACTTACTTTAATTACCACTGATAATTAAAAATAAAAATATTTTAATACGTTTTAGAATGACTCCTGTCATAGGTGCATATGTAATTCATATAAATAAAAGTTATACTCGTCTATATTGGGGATGCATATGTATGTGTGCCTGTGCAAGACCATGAAGGCTAGAAAATCCATATCCTCTCTGTTCCCTTCTCAAACTATAGAAACATGCAAGTATTCTAACTTCTGTTTAGTCTAGAATTAAAATTCAAGATCTTGACTAATTTATTGAAGGAACTCTTGTCATCTCCTCAAAAACAAAAGAGACAACTCCCTCTAGCCTTTGGAACAAGAGACGTCTCACAGCTCATCACAGTGTGCTGTAGACGTCAGGGTTTGAAGACCTGTGATATCATTTTATGGTAAACATAGTCTGATAGCTTTCATACTGGCAGGAGAGGTGTGTCCTAAATGCCTGATGTTCAAATCCTTCTCACTGTGTACTTGCGCGTAGAGAGGTGTGCGGCTGAAGGCAGACTGATGTAATTGATGCATTGCACCTTTTACCCAGAGGACGCATCCATCTGCAAAAAATCTCAAAGGTTTGTGTGGCTTACCTTCATGCACCACACAGATGTCATAACTCAAGATCTGGCAATAAAGAAAACGTTGTTAAAACCATACAGATCAATACTGACCCTGGTAGTACCTCAGCCTTCAGTAGGGATTGTTGCTGTGCTGATGCTGACAGTGACACTTTCATACTGATGACCGTGCAAGCGTTTCTCAACACAATAGTGAAAGAGGACAGGGATGACTAGGTATCAGATACTTTCTGTGATGTGTCTTGTTGTCCTTGCAATTCAGTAGTTACAAACTCTTAAGCCCTGTTCACTGCACAAATTTTTAACACAAAAAATACTAAATGCACAAAGTGTTTTCTATTGGTAGTGCCTTTGGATGATAGAGAGAAAATGAGATAGGACAAGTAATCAACAGAGTTAAAGGCATCTTTTCTTATCATAGCACTACATTGAGGATGATGACCACCTCTGTGACCATGACATGTGCTTTTTGGCCATTAGCGTTTGCAGTGCAAAGGGGACTTTTATGCAGTATGTGAGGAAAGGAGGAAGAAGAAAGGAAAAGACATCTACCAGGGGACATCCAGAGTATCATCAAAGATCTCTTTTGGAAGAAGGAATTAGGCTTCAGAACAAATGCAGTACTTCAGTTCTCAAAAACTACACTGGGATCATTGAAGATCATACCCATTTCCTACTTGATGCCATATATATATTTGGGAGTGGGGCGGTAAACCTTATTCTAATAATAGGTGGCTGGGGTGTAGTTACTAAAGTATGCAATGAGGTGTGTTCCCTTTCTTAATTAACAGACTTATAAGAAGCAGATTTTATTGGGAACCTGCAGCAATCCTGAGTTTTGGGGTTTTTTGTCTCCTGATTATGCCGTCCAAGTAAACTCACATAATTTGCACCATTCCCAGGCAATTGACACGATGGAAGCTGTGATCTAATGCACATTAGACACAGTTCAAAGACGTTTTTGGTCACCACAAGCACTTCTGCTCCATTTACTGTCAAATACGAGCATTACTGCTTTGAGCTCACCTTGCTCTGCGAGGGCAAATGTGGCTGGGTTTATGTTGCTGTATGCCAGACACCACTGCCAGCCCTGCATTCTTTGGCTCTGGTAAGCAGTGCATCTTTTGGGCAAGAAAATCTCAGTTTACACTGTCTGAATGAATATCCACAAATCTACAAAAAACCCTACCCTTTTGAGTCCATTTCCTCAACGTGATAGTGATTCTGACTGCATGAAGTTCAGGAATATTTGGATTGTCAGTGTAAGGAGTTTCGTGCTGAGGTGGCACATAATTATACAGGAGTTGCTCAGTCTCAGGGCTATCAAACTGTCCTATTCATTTTCATACAGTTCTTAAAATATGGTAACATGGATCTCCAGCTACAATGCTGCATAAATAAACAAGAAAATTATCCTTATTCGGCCGTCCATTGAGGCTGTCAAATTCTGAGCCTCAGAGACTTTACCACAAAGACAGCAATAACATACCAGATTTCCAGAGCAGGAAATCAGTGATCTATGTTTCAATCCTGCACATAACTGTGTTTGGTAGAGCTGGTCAAATCACAGGAAGAGAGCGTGTGCCAGGCATGTGCAAGTCCTGGTGTTTTATCTTGCTGTATCACCAGCTGGCTGGTTTTCCTCTGTTTTGAAACTTAGGACAGTCTTCATCATAGCCCAAGCAGCATCTAGCTATTTTAGAAGGATCAGAGTTCTTTAAAATAGCAGCATTATTGAGACAATTTTGACTTCTGCCAGCCAGTGTGCACTGGACTTTAGTCAGATGCTAAATCAGAGAGACACTTGTTAGCCTGCTGTAACTTCTCATTCCATTGCCTTCCAGGAATGTTACATGACAGTTATTTGTTGGGGAAGATTCACAGTAATACACATAGTGTTTCCAAAACATACATCATTTACTATATAAGTAATCCTGAAAGAAACATCATTTACTATATAAATGCCCTGCATGCCTGCACTTCAGAATCTGCTGTTATCATGGGCTGCAGGTCGTCACAGGGTTGCAGGATGCTTTCAGATGCTCCTTCATTTAAGTCTTTGCATGGAAATACAAGAACCGTGTGCAAAACTGACAAACGCTAAAAGAAGAGGGATGCCCGCAATGGGATCCATACAAAGACAAGCAGGATAAATGTGCAACAGCTCACAATTTGTTGTTAAGCTCCCACAAGCCAAGCAGCGCCAGTAGTATCAGTTATTTCTCAAGTACTACTTACGATAGGCAGCGTTGGCATTTCCTGATGAGCCTGTGCTAACTACAGTAAAGCTGGGAGAGTATGTTGTTTCAGGTGTTGCCTCTAGATAGCCTGCTGCAGAGTTTACTCATCACCAGTTCATCTAGCTTCCTAAAATCCCACATCCTTTTAATTTGTTGTATCCTCTCAGAAAACAAAACTCAAAGGCTTTGAAGTAGGCACTGTCTTTGTATTTCCTACTTAGTGTATTAAGTACGACCTGAATCTGTATCCTTGACTGAAACCTTTTGACTTCCCTGTGTTAACATAGCGTTCTGTGCATGTTTTAGTCAAATTCTGCCATTTCTTGGAATTTTGGTTTGAACGTGGTATTATCTTCCTCATGTTCTACAGTGAATGGCAAAAGTCACATAAAGCAGATGACCTGTTCCCCTGAAGGCTGCATATGGTGATGCAGGATATGAAATTAATAACATATTGCAGAATTCTGTTCACTCTGTGGCCACAGACAAATAGTTTTATGCAAGTGACGTTTTAATGTATTTTAATATCACTAATAGTAATTTGAATATTTTTTCATTTTTAATTTTCATTTATCAGGACATTTGAGAGCAAAGCAACGTTAGAACCATTGAAGAAAATCTAGATACACATGAAAAGAAAAATGTTGCAATGTGCTTGAATGTCTAACACCCAAAGAATACATCTGTTAAACAAGGTTGTTCAGAGAGTACGGTTTTTCCAACATCATTAATATGAAGCACTCCTGTAAAAGCAATGATTGATACTATACCATTTTATTTTTCTTTGTTCTTTTGAAAATATTAAGTATAAACCATCAAAAAAATCAAATGAAGAAGTGGGCTTGAGTTATTTTTATAGTTCTTCAAATGGTGTTCCATGACTGTGGGAGAGTTTCAGCACAAACAAAAGATCTAGCTTGATGCAGCCCTTATTATGGTGATTTGGGGAGGGTCTGTCTGCATTATCCTGGCTGGTCCTGCTGCTCCTTCTTTCTGCTTGGGAGTGTTAGGCCCATTTCAAGAATTTACAAGGCAGTTAAACAATGTGAGTAACACATTTTCCCTTTCAAAGTGGGAAATTGCAGTTCACGTTTATAAAGATAATTTCATGCTATTAGCTGTGATAGCATATAGCAAAACTGAATGGCTAATATCAGAAGCTATTGCTGTGGATGGGATAAGCTTAAGCCCTAGTGCTGCTGCACCCTTTTGCATGGGTGAATTTTGCTCACCAATACAGACTGAAGAGTCCGAGATTTTCCTTCAAGAGCATGTAAGTTTTCATTGACTACTGAGTAAAAAAATGTTATTGTTGTTGTCAGCTAAGAAAACAAAATGTATTGCAAGGAACCTCAGGCAGCTCCAATAACAAGTGTTACCTTACAAGGCTTTGTTGTTTTGCAGTAAAATAACTTTTGTCTGTGCCTTGCTGCTTCTTGTAAAACACTGAATTTCCCATTCTAGCTTACTGGCACAGGGTCTGAACAACCTTCTGGTAGTTTCATGTGAAACAAAAGTCAGCAGAGATATTTTTTTCAGGGAAAGTATGTTTCATGTAGTTTATGACACATATTTCCTTAAAGCACACCTCGGTTCTTTTGAACCTGTAATTTGTGTTTCATGTGATTATAAGATTGGATCCCTTTCTTCTGAAGACGAAAGCAAAAGTCCCCTTTATTTTTGTGTTCTGTAATATGTTTGTGTCATCTTGCTGTTTTGTTTACCTGAGCAAACTGCAGTGCTTTGCTTTGATGACTACTTTTTGCATTAATTGAAGCAAAAATCACTGTGCCCGACTATGTACAATTTGAAGCAAGGCTTTCCTTTGTGTTCATTTTAAGCTGCCTGATGTCCCTCTTCAAACACTCTGGGTCCTGAGGCCAGTAGAATATTACCTGCTCTTGAATTTTGCCCCAGTATAACTTAGTCCTTCATACATGTTCATTTTTCTTTTTGTTTGAAGTACTTCTTTTTAGTTGAAGTCTTTGGAGGAATCAGTTTTAACTAAACTCACCTGTTTTATTGTTTTACCAAAATTGGTAAATATAATTAGGATTTTGCATTAATATATTCCTTTATAATGCATATGTAGCTGAGCCAGGTCTGTTTTTTACGTAACCTGGGCATGAGTTTGCTAGTTAATGATCCTATTTCTGCCTCTTCTTTGCATGCTTCAGAGATCTCCTTGCCACTGCTGATGGACCTGCCAAGATGTTTTTTCATGTAGAAATGACAGTTGTGTATCACCTTACAGATTTTTCAGGGATATGACTGCAAAATTGACAGTACATGCATTGTGTTAGCATTTTGTCACCACAATAATTCATTTCATTGAAATCTCACTGGGATTTTGGAGTTAGTTGTTCCGCTTCTCGCTGCCCTGACAGCGTGTGAAGGTGGTGTTACATGCTCCTGGAAAAAGCCAGGAGAGTTAGCAGCCTAATTTTCTGTTTAGACAGTAACTTCATGTAGCCGTGGGGAATAAAATAGAAACAGAAGTTACTACAGGTGTAGCATAACAGAAGATTTTGCGTGTGCGTGTGAGATCTAGACATACAGAATGATAAATTTAATTTCAGGTGTTGTTTTGTTTAGCTGTAATGCTAACGTGCCTGAAAACTCCAGCGAGATGGATTGTGTGTTCTTTGCTTCTGTTTTAAATAAGGAAAAAAGGAGCAAAACCAGCTGTTAACTTTTTTTGTTGAAGACTACTGAGATTATTAGTCTTAGTACATATAAAGCATGTAAAATAAATGGTTACTGTTCATTTCATTGGAGAATATGTAACTATTTATAGAGACAGATATCTCTTCTAAGAAGTGGCTCGCATTAACAGTGACGTTTAAAGTATGGATGGGTCGTGCATGTTCGTGACTTACCTTCTTTTTGATAGTTCTTTTAACATCAGAATATTTTACCAAATCATTCTATGCTTTCTGTGTGTTTTGGCTTGCTTTTTTTTTTTAAACTTTAGTGGTTTTAAAAAAGGAGAATATATATTTTTCATGATCATTAAAGGTCCCTTCCAACCCAAACCATTCCATGATTCTATGATTCTATGTGCTATTTATCCAAGAAATGGTGATGTTTTATTGCAAGTATATCACCCTGTTGTTGGACGCATACATGTATCTTTTCTGTCTGTGTGCACTTCTGCATCTAGACTTAACGTGCTTCCATGCACTGCTTTTTAATTGAGAGAGATTTACATAAGCCTAAAGAACAGCTGGGAAACTAAATTAAGGTAGAAAGTTGAGATTTGAACTGTAGTTTGGACATCTGAGTTCTTACCTGTTGTTTTGAAAGGTTATTTTGACAAAAATGACACTAATAGATAATCCTAGCACTACTGGGAATATACTTCTGATAATAATGTTATGTGCCTTCATCTCAGGAACTGAAAGCTCATGAACAAAAACTTGAGTAGTTCTGTCACAATTTTGGTCTTATTATTGTATAAACATGAGAAGGACTGCACCCCTTCCCCCGCCCTTCCGTTTCCATGTATTTATTGAGTCCCAAGCTTTAAAAATCCAGATGTGGCTCTGAGGAAAGTGTTTGCTTTATAATATGTTTGCATAGTCATTTGCATAGCCAGCAGGCTATTTGTGATCCGTACGCACTGTGCTCTGGCTTCCAGAGGGAGCCCTGCTGAACTAAAGTCTCCCCACCTTAGGCATGGGGAGAGATGAGCACAGGTGTATGTGCAAAGGATTGTCTAGGCAACTTGGGGTTTAATAGTGCAAGCTTTTTCTTTTCAATATTATTGTTTTATTTTGTTTAATCTTGAGAGACTGATTGTAGCTTATGATTTTTTAAAATTCTGTTTTGTCAGCAAATTGTTCACATCTCGTGGTTTACCAGCCCAAGAATCACCTGCATTTTCTGTTTAAAACTAGCTAGAAGCAGCTCCTTATGCAGGGTGAAAATTCAGTAACCTCTGACTTTGGTCTCTGAACTTGTCTCTGACACTCGGTTTCTTTTTCCTGCTGTTGTCTTTCTGTGTGGGTGTGACTTTTCTATTGTTAATTTGTTTATAAAGAACAAACCAATGGATTTTCAAATTCAACATGGACTATCACTGGAGAATTACTTCCTCCAGATGGCTTACAAAAGACTAATCAAGATTCTGTCGGTCCTATTCTGCTTTCATTTCTGTTTGGAAAAGATTCCTTGTTAAATCTGAGATAAATTTGGAGAGGTCTTCCTATGGAAAAGAGGCCTCACTTAGAAAAGGATGAAAACCATTGAAATACAGAGCCAGTAATGTGTAAGCACTAAATTCTTAGTGCTTAAGACACTGTTTTCTCCTCTCTCTTAATGTTCTGAAATACTACTGTGGAGTTGTATTTTGTCTGGTAGAATTCATAATTACTGGGATTCTAGCTAAAGAAAAAGATAACCTTTTTTGTATGCAGTATGCTGTGTTTGCACAGCAGCTTATTTACTTTTTGAACAGTCTCTGCCTAATAAGGATAACTGGAATTTCTTAAATGCTATAAAATTAAGACAGGGGAATATGCTACAGATGAAGAAGACGAAGACATGGGACCTGTCCTTCCAGGAGGTGACATGGCTATTGAAGTGTTCGATCTCCCTGAAAATGATGACATGTTCTCCCCCAGTGATGTGGACACCAGCAAGCTTGCTCACAAATTCAAAGAGGTAAGTTATGGATCAGAAAATATTCCTGAAATATCTCACTGGAATTAGATTTCTAGTTATCTCATTGCTCAGTGCTTCTTTTTTCTCTTGAAAACTAGAGTTGATTTCTAGCTGTTTGTATACTCGGTACTTTCGGATGACTCAAACAGTTCTGCTTAAAAGAAGTGGAACTGTTCTTCAGAGTTGTTTTAGCATCAGCTTTCAGGTGACCGTTGCATTGATGGAGAGTAATTTATAATTTTTCAGCACAGAAGTTATTCTGCCTCAGCACTTATTTTGCATTTTTTGATCAGGAAGACAAAGTGCAAGTTAATTCATTACTAGCAGATTGCTGCCTTTATTTTTTCTTTTTTGTAAGATTCCAATCAAAAGTGATCAGGAAAACCAAACAGCAAATGCTAAATTTCAGTGAAAAGGGACGTGTGGAGCTCATCCTATACCATTACGCAGCGACTCGCCAATGTACAGCACTGTCATATGTTTGGCCATGTGTTTAGAAAGATGCTGTATTGGGGAAGCAGGCATATTTCAAGCTGGTGTTTTACCAAACTCTGCGGCTACACAGTTTGTATAGCATCCACTGGTGCTAACTGGGGCTTGAATCAGTGGTGTTCATTGCGGTCATTGAATTCATATAACTTAACATGCCAAAGTACTGAGAAACATTTCTTCCGTATTTTAGGCTGTGCTTTTGATGTGGTATATTTCTGAGCTTTCCTGAATTCTGATGCAAATAAAGACATGAAACAATTGGATTTATCTAAGCCCACAGTAATGGGCTGAGTGGTGACAGTAAAGAATGTTTTTCTTTTTAAATACAGGAAGGTAGAAGGGGTGAAAGTAGCCAGAACCTCATAGGAGATTTGAGCAGCAGAATCTGGGCCCAGAAAGGAGTTTTAAAATACAGAGGCTCCCTTTTTATCCTCTTCCCCTGTGCTCTCCCCCTTCCCCTTCCCTCCACTCAAGCCAGATATTTTATCTTCTATCTCTAGTGGGAGTAATGTATGGAAAGTAATCAGTGAGCAACCAGTCTTTCCCTTTTCTGCTGATACCCTTTTCAGCCTTTGGATGCCTACTGTTATTCATCGTTGCTTCCTGAAAGTTTTTTACTTTACTTAAACGATAATTTTCTCACTCCATATTTCAAGTTTCAGGCTCTTACGCAAATTAGCAGAACAGTTTACTTCATTTTCTAATACTTTGCATCATACGTAGTGATACTTTCTCAAAGCGGTGGGAGGATGCTACCATTCTGATTGTGCCAGTGTACCAAGGCTATGCAAACCACAGATACAGTGATGGGCAAGACACTCACCTTTGAATAAAGTACCTGTAAAACTATTCTTGAATACAGTTTCCATCAGCTTGAGCTATTGCCATACTTGAGCATGTCCAAACTGATTTGAAGCTATTTGCAGACCTGTCTGATATAATGGCCCCAAAATGCTGGTGTAGAGGAGATCAGATGAAGGGACTTTGGGATCCTCCAGTTTAAGTGCAGATGAGAGCCTGAGAAGAAAACATTAAATGCTCCTGCATAAGAGTGGACTCTTTTTCACTAACCCACGCAGTTACCGCTGTTACAAGCATGCCACTTTTGTTTCGCTGATTGTATTTAGCAGTACACAACTGCATTTTGTTGGCTGCTACAGAGCGAGTACATGTATTTTTCTTGGTATTTGCCCTGAATTCTTTCAACACTAGAGGACTTGTTCACGATCACGCTGCACAAGCCCACACAGTGTTTTCTGGAATTGTATTTAAAGAATAACTGTTCTTTCTTGTTCTTACTCCAGAGATTAATGAAAGTATTAAAGAAGTGGGTTGGACATAATCTTTAAGCATAATAGTTTGGCCTAATTAGTTGAATTCAGTCTTTGCTATGAAAAATGTGCTCACATACTTTGAGAGCACTCTTATTTGAAATGCCTTGCTTTTGGAATGAAAGTCAGAAGAGAGATGGGCATTCCTGGGTGAATCACTGTACTTCTGCAAGTCTTGTTTTCCTGGCTGTAAAACAGGAAAAATGGGACTGATTTTCTTTAACTGCTTTGAGAGAAAGAGCTAGAAGCTTTATTTTAGCTGTGATGATTGAAGAGAGACAAGATCTGTAGGGAGAAGGGACATCTTATGTAAGAATTAGGTATTATATTTCATGTCTTAATGAAATATATGAAAAATTGATGATTATTATTATTATATGCAAAAAATATATCATGATTATATAAAAATTGTCATGGGCATTATTAGATTCCATTGGGTACTTTCTTTCCCAGTGTACTCTGGATATTTTAACATTTGCTAGCTTTTCATCCCATTCTACCTTTTGCAGTCTTAGATGAATTCAATCCATTTTCTCTATATATCTTATTTTTTATAAAAAGTTTTATTGTTTTGAAGAAAATTAATCAGCTTTTCAAGACATCTTTGAAAAGGAAATGTGCCAAAAACTATTCAAAATGTCATTGTTAAAATGAAGCATTCACAGTTTTATATTGACTTAGAAAACATAATAATACAAAATAATATCTGCCAAGAATTTGTCTGGCATTATATGGGACATGGAATAAGGTATTTTTGCTCCCCTATTAGTAAACTTGCTTAAAATTTTTTAACTACGGAGTCCAGATTTGCTTGCCAAACAGTTGACCTTGCCTGTTGTTTAGTCTAACCTCTAAATGTGTTAGTATTTCTCATCTATTCTGCAAGCATAATTAGTTCTTTAACAAAAGAAAAAAAGAAAAAAGTAAATGTCCTGCTACACATTTGTCTGTTCGGCAAGAAAGTGTCTTTTTTCTTCTGCCTCAGTGGGATCTGCTGTACCATGTACTGATTCAATGATCTGACTGGGTGCTCGGTATTCATTTTTTTAACTTAATAACAGAGAGTATAAAAATAACTGTTAAAACCATCTGTACCTGAGCAGATTGTCATTTATGCAACAATTTGGAGTTTATTTGTATATAATAATAAGCTGTTTAAGTGCTGCTTATGGGTTTGTGGGGTTTTAGAAGAGATGGGAATGGACTGTAAGCAGGTAGCCTAAGGCTTTGAGTCTTGGCTTTTTGATTTCATCATTAACTCCACAAAGGGCAAAGTCTAGTTCATCCATCCTTCCCCTGATTTTATCTCATTCCAAAACAATGAGGTAGCAGAACTAAACAAAGGCCTGGGCACCTTATAAACACCGTAACATTTTGAGATGGTTCTTTTGTAATTTTTCACTACTAACAGAAATGGAGTGATGAGGAAAAACAGTTCTCAATCTCTGAAAATTGCAGATCAGAGCTCAAAAATTGCAAGTAACCTCTTGCAAATGCTAATTAAAGTATCTCCTTAGTTTCCTCTACTATGTATAATTACAAAAAGCTATATATCCTTCTCGGCTTCCTGATCTGCTGGGTGGAGTAGCACCACTGGCCACTTCTTGCCGTTAACACCAGCTCCAGGGCTGCCGAGTGCCCTGTTCCCAGCTGCACTGGCGTCTCTTGGCCTGGACCAGCAGCCCTGCTCTCATGTGGTGTTTCCTCAGGAACCCCGTGTAATCCACGGGTTAGCTGCGTGCTCGGGGCAGGTTTGGTCTGGCCCTGTGCATGTTCCACCTGCTAATTGCGCCTGGTGTGCCTCCACATTTTACATGTTTCTTCAAGCCGTTACAGTCAGTGACTGGTTTCATTTGAAATGAAATCTTGTATCTGTTTTCACTGAGCACTTGAAGATTCGTTACACTTTTCAGTGCAAAGTCAAAAAGAGAGTATAAGTAACAGATGATCCTGGGGACGAGAAGTGCTTACAGTCTCCTCTGGAGACAGTGACCAAGAAATGAGCGGTGGAAAGAAGACTCCTAAACTGTTACTCAGGTGGAACTGGTTGCATCAGTGCCTCCTTTATTCCTTCCAGCATAAATTCAGTAATTCTCCACCAGAAAGGACTAGGATTATTCACTAGATCAGTTAAGGCTGATTTGCAAACCAAACTGCATCTGAGAGTGTGCATTTCCTATGCCACAACAAGTGCGTTCAAGAGGCTCCATGAAAAGAGAATTTCAAAAGTAGCTTGGCCTTTCTTGAAGATACTTGTACCGATCAGCTCCGTGATGGCTCCTGTTATTTTGAAAATTACTCCTCTCCTCCAGAAGAACTTCTCTTTTGAATTATTTGTACATTTTTTTACTAACAGCCTGGTCTTCAAGAATGGAGCCATTGCTTCACCAGAGATGATAATTTCTGGTTCAGTACAACTCCCTCATGTGCTCCATTAGCTCAATATAAACTATTCCTAAAGGCTCCCGTCAGTCTTGTAAGAGAAGTAACCCCCCATGTAGAACATGCTTTTCCGTAACTATTCCTGGTATTCATAAATAATGGACAAAGGCTTTGTCTCCACTGCAGTGCCAGCTCAGGCTGTAATTCAGGTTTTGCCCTTGCCGTCAACCCAACACACACAAGTCACTGATTCAGATTAAACAGTGCTTTAGATTTAAGGTTTTGGGGCCTGTCAGAAATTTGTCCATGCTACCTGCTTTAAATAATAAAGCAGCAGGGATTTGGGTGCAGGCCAGTATTGGGTGCATGTGCATGATCATTTCTATTTGGATTAGGGTTATACTGTTGAAGCTGTGGTTCGATTCGTACTTCAGAGCGTTCTTGGAGCCTGTGAATAGCACACCTTTGGGGTGAAACTGAAGATATTTCAGGACATTACCTAATACACTCAAAGAGCTAATGAGTATTCACTCCACAGGATCAGACCAGTAGATCAGATCAGTAGGTCCATCCAAAAGAAATCCCCCCGGAAAGTGTGCAGGTGGATGCCAGGTCCTCAGCACCGACCCTTTCACTGTACAGATCCACTGTTACTGTGGCATGGTGCTTGGTAATGTAACTACAACCTTTAGCACACTGCCTGGGCTGTTAATCTACTTGCCATCATTTTGTGTGCTTGAATGCCGTTTCCTGTTTTTTAGGGTTTCCTGTGTAACTGCTCTCAACTGAGATTAGCTAGCTTGAGCAGAGTAACTCCAGCTAATGGTGGAGAAGGATAGCATCAGTTTACCTTTTTTCTTGCGTGAAATCAATGTGTGGAATCTTCCCTCAAGGTTTTCCTGACTTCTTGAGTTGTTAAATCACTTATTTCCATATTTGCTTTTTTGTAACGTGCCTGCTTTAATCAATGCAGTGGGACTTTCTGACAGCACTGGGACGTATTTCACGTTCACATCAGAGGAGAGCAAAGCCCAGCAGGATGACATCTATTTTTTTTTAAGCATAAGACATTTGGTTTTGCTAAACAGATTGGATGTTCTGATTTGAAATTATGAGTGGTTAGACGGCATCCTATCTTTAATTAGGTTGCACAGACTGAGTCATTTTGCAAGCTAGACATTTTAATTTACAATCTACTGCACTGCAGCACTCTTCAAGGCCTTCTGCTATGTAATAAGGTATTCAACTTGCAGCACAGGCTTTAAAAATACCGGAGTACTCTCTGTGACTTCACTTGTTTATTTTATATTTTCAATTTTAGTTACAAATCAAACATGCTGTTACAGAAGCTGAAATTCAGAAGCTGAAGACGAAGGTAAGAATCTATGGTTAATACACGTTTTTTTCCTCTCTCATGCAAAATCAGATCTGAAGACATGTATCTTTATGTGGGTGGAGAAGTCAACATCCTTATTAAAGGCTGATTAAGAAGCACAGTGGCTCGGCTAAATCTTGTCTTGGTATATATTCTCTATTCAAAGTTTCAAGTAAAATCTTAAGTGCTGCTATTAAGAGAAACTGCCAACTTGTGTAGCTTCAATTAAACATACATTTTAAGGGGTATCATAATGACTAAATGGCACATTTCTAGTTTTACAATTCTAATGCATTTTCTCAGGTTTTTAAATTATATTTGGATTGCATATTTAAGTGTAAGTTGTTAGGGTTTTTTATTTACCAGTGATGTTAAAGTATCCTGTTTATATTAGTTCCTTTTTTTGACATTTTTTGTAAAAAAACTCACTTACTTAAAGGTGTTTAATAAAAATTACTTTTTTATATACAGAAGAAAGAGCTGTTTCATATTGCTGCAGTTCTTTTTAAAAGATAGTATAGAAAGGAAAAAGCTTACCAGTTTTACAGAAAACATCATCTCACAATCGGTTGCTATATCTTAGATTGCATTTGCTATAGCAATAAAAAGAAATTGTATTTTTTGTACTAGGATAACCTTTATGGGAAGTCAACTGATAATTCAGTTGTTGAGTAATATTAGGTTTTATAATGACATCCTTCTCTTTGAGTTTGAGTCCGTTATGAAGGAAATAAAAAGAAAACAAAGAGAAAATTGTACTTCAGAAAAAGATTTTAGATTATTATTTCTTTCTAGCTACTATTTGCACTGACTGTGTATTTTGCATAGTGTTTATCAAATCTGCATAAATTATTGGTAAAAACAAATTCAGAGTGCAGCTGTGTTCTGTAAGGACAATTTCTGTTGTACTGTTTCAGTTCAGAAAGTCAGAAATCTGTTCTTCCTCCACTTTCCAGTTCCAATCTAGCAATTGGAGCCGCACGGTCAATCCCTTGGGATTGTGCCGAGCCCCATTGACTTCATGGCAATGATGTGTGGGTGTAAACATTCATCTGTGCAAATCCATTTGCAAGATTAGGATTAATGTGCCTTTTTGTGTTGGGCTTCTTTACCTAGTGTTTTGAATAAAGCTGAAGAAAATGTGGCTAGTTTAGGTATATTACTAATAAAATTGCAAACGAGTTATTTTCTTTCTGTGTGCGTTATCCTTGATGCTAGCAGAACTGCCTAGAGCAAATTAAACAGTCTCGATAAGTAAACAAGGATGTTAAGGCATTTTTTGTTTTCCATAAATTCTGGGAGCTAAAACATGCAAGCTGCTGAACAACCCTACCCTTATCCAGCACCAAACATTCAAACCCGCAGCTAGCTTCAGCTGGGAAGTGAGAAGCCTAACACAAAAAAAATCTAACAGAAAAACTAGCAAAGGAGCTAAGGTTTATTATAAACTCAGCAGGAAAATTTGGGCTCCTCTAAGGTCGCTTCCAAGTCATTGGACTTCATTGGTGCCAAATAGTGGCACTCGCAGTGGAACTGCACTGGTCATAGAGTTAAGCACTGCTGATGTGTTTGGCAGAATTAGCACCTGAAATCTTCAACAGCAAGGGCATATTTTTCTTTTCATATTAGCTCCTTACAACTCAGTAAGCAAGTTTAAAGAAAACAAGAGTAATATATTTATAACAGGTTCTCTTTGTCCTCGTAATAGTTCTAGCATAGTTTCAGTATTGGATGCAAAACTCTGTGCTTGCTTAAATGAAAAAAGATTCTAGGTTATGACCCGATGTTAAATTTTGAATTATGCTCCAACCTCTTTTGTTTGCCTTTCTAGATTAAGCAAGATTATGACATGAAAACAGACATTGTAAGAATTCAGTAGATTTTCTAATGTGGGTAAAAAAGCAGATAGTTGCAATTGGGTTTTTTCCTATTGTTTTCTAAATTGTTCTTAAATCAAATCTAGAACCTGAAAATCAGTTTCCCCCAAAATAAGAAATTTCTCATTTTATCGAAGTGTACGAATGCTTCCTAACACCTGAGCCAGAAGCATAGAGCAAAATGCATCTCCAGTGCTGACTGCAGTTTGCCTGAATACTCCGCTATTGACAGTTTTAAAGCACGTTGGTATATCCCAGAGAAGCACAGAGGCTGCACTGGCTGCACAGTGCAAAGGTTCTACTTCGTTTTATGAGGAAGAATAATGTATGTATCAGGCTGTGTTCTTCGTCTTTGAATGCTCTTTTCACTGCTAGCATATTACTTATATAGCTATTAATTCACTGATTTTCACTATTCATGTTGTTTGAATTCATCCTAAACGATTAGGCTGCACTTCGCACCTTTTCACTGACTGGCATCTCCACTCTTTTGTTCAGCTGCAGGCTGCTGAGAATGAGAAGGTGAGGTGGGAATTGGAGAAGACCCAACTCCAGCAGAACATTGAGGAGAATAAGGAAAGAATGATGAAATTAGAGAGTTATTGGATTGAGGCACAAACCCTGTGTCACACGGTGAATGAGCACCTCAAGGAGACGCAAAGCCAGTATCAGGCTCTGGAGAAGAAATATAACAAGGCAAAGAAATTAATCAAGGATTTTCAGCAAAAGTAAGCAGCTACGCCAGGCTCAGCAAATGACTTAGTGGCCAGATAGGAAACGTATATGTGATATATTTTGAAATATGAAACCCACTATTAAACACCTGTAAGGTAAACGCTATTTTTCACTTTTTTTTCATGAAAAACACCGGCTCTTTATTATGGAAAAATGTTAGTAGTATTCAAGTATTAGTTTAGTATTGTTGAAAAATAGTACTATAACTAAATAAAGACTTAATCTGTAGTATTCCAGGTTGGAATGTTTCAGAATTACTAAATAACTCAATGTGATTGCAAACAACCAAGAGTAATCATAGTAAAGCATTTGATTAGCAAGGTTTGCAGCAGTTTATATTGGTGTTGTGTCAGCTGGATTCACTCCTGCTGTGTACTAATGTAACATCAAAAAGAAATTTGTTTTGTTACATTTTACATTTTATTTTTCTTCTTCTCGTAGATGCCAAGAATGTTTGAGCTGAGTTGAGCTAACTGATGATTACCTGGCCCCCTCTGTTTCATGTGGTCCCCTCTCCCTGATGGCTAGCAAGAATAATAACATCTTACATTTCTATAACAGCTTCCATTCCCCCAAATTTCTTTTTTTGCAGCAACTTTTTCATTTTCTGCTGAAATACACTCATTTAAAGAAGAAAACTCAAAAACATACAGCAATGTCAAGTGACAGCTGGGAGTGCAGAAGTGAATATCCTGTCCCATTAAAAAGGGTTTTAGATAGTCAAAATACCATTACCCATCTTGGAATTTCATGACTGTTCCAGAACTAGCTGGCATCTTGTGTGCTTTCTGTCACAAATGTCTTAGATTTTCAAAATAAAAAGAAATAAGGAAAATAGCTAGAATGAGCTTGGATAGCCTTTCTGTTGTTACTCTGTTTTATATTAGTAAAAAATGTAGTCAGTTGTTTTTAACTATCTCAGACTCCTAAAATCAACTAACAGTTTTCCTTATAGCTTACTAGAAAATTAGATTTGTACCTTGGAACTTATGGATGTCCTTTCTGTGAAGGAGTGCAGTCATACTCTAATAAAACAGATTTTGCTCCATTTCCTACAAGAGAACACAGCATAAGCTAAGCTAACGTTGTTTTCATTGTAAATACAGATTATGAAAAAATTAGTTTGATTTAACTGTTTTGATTATCAATTAGAACAACTGACTTTTTTTTCAGATAAATTCCTCTTACCATTTTTATATCTTCACCTAGCATATTCGCTTAGACTAAATAATTGTTTAGGGTTTTGTCCTAATTGCAGTTTCATACTTCTTACTAGGTTAATAATAAAATATTCATTAAGGACAGATTTTTCTGATGCATAGCTTAAGATACATCAGAACATTTTATTTTCTGTTGGAATCTGATTGCTTTGATGACAACAAATACATCCTTTTTTTCCCTAAGAGAACTTGACTTCATCAAACGCCAGGAAGCTGAACGAAAGAAAATAGAAGATTTGGAGAAAGCACACCTTGCAGAGGTTCAAGGCTTACAAGCTCGTGTGAGTAGTATTTACTCTCATATTTGAAGAATGAGACACTTCAGGAAACAGAAGGCCCAATATGCCGACCGGACCCACTTCTTAGGGAAGTCTGCTGCTTCCCTGGGGCCTGGGTTGAAAATGTGAAGAGAAAACTTCCTACCCTGGTAGGGCCCTCAGATTATTTTCCATTATTGATTTTTCAGGTAGGCAGCGATGAAGTTGCAACTAGAAGTCTGAGGGCAATCA